GATGTGGGATTTATTTCCAACATTAAGGTTTGAAGTTCCATCTTAAAAGATCAACCTTGTTAAACGGAGTAGTCAAAATCCTTATAAGTTGGTCAATGTTTATCATCTTTATTCAATGTGGAATTTATTCCTTAACAGGTAGTGCCTCTTTATACAAGTTTAAGATTATAAATGTGATGTATATGATGGAAAGTACAAGCTACGTGATGAATATTACTTTCCTAATAGTTCAAGGGGATTCCGACGTATAACAGTGGACTTTGATCTTGACGGAGATTACATGACTTTGTGCTGCTACTTTCTTTTTCTTCTTGATGTTTCTCAAATGATGTTCCCGAGTTGTGAATCTATAACTAAACCAAGATTTCTGAGCTACGGTACCATAATAAGATGAGTACTCTTATCTTTAAGCAGTGCTTACAAACAACAGCTTTTTTCCTTAAAACCCCAGCGTATTTATGAGAGTTAGCTATACAAACTCATTTTCTCACATATTTAAGCTCAACATTTAAAAGCTTACTAGTTAAGACAGTGGCAGTCTTGATTGGCACCCCTAGCATATCAAGGATAATGGAATTATATAAAAATGAATGAAAATTGACATTCTGATAAAAGCTTTAATGACAAGACTAGTTTGTAGATCCACCAAACAGTTCCTCCCAAAACTCTACAAAAGCTTTTACAATGACAGAATGATACTGTTGTTGAATTGAGAGACAAACAATACATCATGAGTTGGTCCAATTCATTGGCATCAAAAATCCGTTTTTCCAGTATTGTTTCTAACATTCCCGCCTTGGTAGCTAACTTGACAAATGCACAATCTAAATTTAGCTAATGAATAGGAAAGGATGCGGCAAATTTTAATGACCTATTATTATAGGGAGTCAATAAACAGAAATGAAAGCGTTCCAACATATTTTAATTACCAGTAATTCACTTGTAGCAGTGAAAGATCTTGTCCCACCATGGTGATTATATGGAATCTTTACTCGATTGCGTTT